CCTAAGGAAGTCCCCTACCCTTGGGGAGGAGGAGAGGGAAGCACGGAGAAGCCAGTGGCAGGAGCTTGAGACCAGCAGTAGTTTATGTTGCACAACTATATTGTTCAGTCTTGAAGCCCAGCAGCGAGCCCTGGAGGTGGGCAGGTAATAATAATAACAGCAACATCAAGGACAGGAGCTCACGATTCTAGCTCATTCTACGCCAATCACAATAAGCCCTTTGCTTGGCTTATCTCCTTGAACAACCCCAAGGGCCAAGATACTATTATTTATCTCCAGTTCTCAGAAGAAAACGGCACAGAGAGGTCAGGTAATTTGCTCAAAGTCACCCAGACGTGACTGGCTTTTTTTCTTTTTCTTTTTTCTTTTTTTTTTTTTTTTTGCAGGGACGGGGCGGGGGGTGGAACGGGTTCTGTAAAACACACAGTAAAATTCACCCTGTACAGTGTACAGGTCTATGAGTTTTGAAAAACGCTCAGAGAAGTGTAATTACCACTGTCACCAAAAGTAGAAGGGTTCTGTTACGCCTCAAAACAGGCCTGACTTCTACCCTCCACTGCTCCAACTGCCTCGCAGGCAGTCTTGGCCGCATTTGCACCGGTGACAAAATGGAGGTCGGGAGACGTGGTGTTTGCCCAGCCAGTAAGTGACAGATCCGAGACTCGAACCTTCATCTGTTGTCTGCTGGTCCGGCTGCCGGCGGAGCGTGGATTCCGGAATCTACAGAGCTCAGCCTGCGGCGGTTTGGGGCCTGTAGGAAAGGGAGCCCTTTGCTCTAAAATGGAGCCTCAGAAATCCCCTCACTGTGCACTGCAGGCTCCCAGTACTTAACCAATCACCCATCCCTCTAGGGCAGCTAGGGAACAAAGAGGGGCCGGATTCTGCGAGGCCCAAGCCGCGAATAAAGTGAGCGGCAGCCGGGCGGTGCGAGGGCCAGGGGTAGAGTTGGCTCAGGGTCTGGGTCCAGACCAGAATGCCCAGTGCCCTGTGGAGCCTCACCCACCAGTCTGGTTAATGAGTTACTGTCCTCGTTAATTCTCCCACACGTCGGGGTGGTTGCTTGAACCTTCCCGAGTTCCTCAGGTCCCTCGCGCATGAATTAGCATAGATTATCCGGCTTCCAGGGCTTCTGCGACCAGCCCCAAACCCACTTATCTCTCTGGTGGGCCTGAGCGAGGCTTGGGGCGGGTAGCCCTTGGGCCAGAGGAAAAGGACCCCCGCTGCTCCCTCACCCTTGCCCACCTGCTGTCCACGAAACACCTTGGGCCCAACATGGCCCCTCTGTGCAGTTTGCAGGAGGTTGGTGGCCTGAAGAGGATATTGCACGAAGGGAGACAAGGCTCCCAGGAGACTGGGCCCTTTGCCCTGGGCCCAACTTTCCTGCCTCTGGCAGGAGGAGGAGAGGGTCTGGGCTCTAGACCGTCGCTTACTCCCTTGGGTACCCTGAACACTCCTAGCCAAAGGTAGGAAAGGGTTTAAGGAAGTACCAACAACACCTCAGCGCTAAGCCTGAGACGTTAAAAAAAAGGTTAAAAGCCCTTACATTTCATACACCGTGGCGGGCCTCACCCCACCTCCCGGACACAAACTGGATCCCCTTTGCCCTCAAGGTCATCTACTCTCAGGCCCCCAGCCAAGACCCCTAATACGAACTGTGAAATTAAATGCTCACTCCCCACCCTGTGGCCAGGGCGGGGCTTTTTAGGGCTCCTCCTTTTCCACTTGGAGCCTAACTGCCAAGTTTGGAGAGCCTGGTCTGAGGACAAGCCTGACCTTCCATTCCTCCTGGAGAGCCTTCCAGGAAGGAGGACTTCTCCCTCTGGTTCCAGGATCCACGACCTACAGCCCACCTAAACTGGGCGTTTCTTCCCAGCTTTGGAAATGGAGGGCTGACCTCTAGCTCCATTCCGGGCTTGCTGGTTAGCACAGCCAGAAGACCTCTCATTTCTCGGTGGCTTCAGGCTCCCTGCTGGCCTGGGCACTGGTGGGGCTTATGTCCCTACAGCCTAACTGAGGGAGGGATTTCTGAACTGGAGACGATATTTCTGGAGGTCGGTGGTTCAGGCCATAGGGAGGTACATCTCCAGATACACCCCACCCCCAGAAGCTGCACTGGACACCCTGTATCCTTGGGCCTGGGAAAAAGGATGGGGGGTTGGGGGTGCTTCTGCAAAGCACGACCACAAGAACCTGCTAAGGGTGAATACCCAGCCACCACCCCTGCCCAGAGCTGGCGCCAGAGGTCTGAAGCTTGAGACAGGGGCAGTCAGATTTCTCAGGGCATGAGGGGAAAGCGGAGGTCCACACCTGTCTTGGGTGTGGATGTGTGTATATGTGCCTTCTGTGGGAAAGGTGGGGGGGGGGGACAACCCAGATGATCTCTGTTAGCTAAGGTCAGGTGCCCAGACACACCCAGAAAACACAATTCTAACCTCTCTTTCCTGGAGGGTTTCCCTAAAAGGTTTCCCCTCCCCATCCCAAAGCAAATTATGCCTGGAATCAAGTTGAGAAATTGATGTGAACATAAAAATACATCAGATGAAACCACAGAGGGCCCGGGGAGAACCCAGGACAGTGAGGTGGGTAGTTGGGGAAGCGGGGAAGTGTGTCCAAAAACCCAGACCCTCAACTGATGAAGCTGCAGGCTCGTCTCGGACTTTGCTCTCCCCCCCCCATCCCAATCGACTTTTCTCGGGTCTCACAGCAACCTAGTCACCAAACACAGGCATTTCTTCCTCCTTAAGAGAAATGGCATGGGCCTCTAAGTAATAGATTTAAAGGATGCCAGATTTTTTTTTTTCTCATTAATTGTAAACGTGCAAAATACCTGCTGGTACTTCACTTTAGAAGAATGCAACTGGCAAGAAGGGGGGAAAAAAAAAGGAAAAAAGAAGCTGCTGATGAATAGATAATAGATCTTTAACCACCAATAAACAGAGAGCAGCGCCAGCAGCCTGGGGGATGTGATCATAATTATGCCGTTGCGCGAGCCAATGGGGACGAGGGGACTCGGCCCTAAAATCATCCCAAAACCGAAGGCGAGCTCGAAAATGCGGACACGGCCTGGGAGCGGAGACGCGATCTGCAGTCCCTAGTTGCAATCCCTGCACAGCAACCCGCCCCTGGGACGACAGATAACAGAATAATAATAGAAGTAATAATCGTAGTAATAATAATGATAAGAATAATAACAAAAAGGACAGCAATAGTCATAATGACAAAACGAACAAAAATAATAACGACAAGGGACAACGGACCGATAATAGTAACACCGCATCAGTCTTTCCCCTGACCTTGGACCCCGTGGTCCCAGATATTGCCAAAGGAACTGTTTTGGGTAAGGAGGTGAGAACGCTCCCAGAGAGAAAAAGTGAGAGCCCGCAGGGCTGGTTGGAAGCCTGGCGCCTGGGCAGGGTCGTTGACTCGTGTCTCAACTTGCAAACGAACAAACAGGGTCAACAATCGCGAGCACCGCGACCCTGAGACCTCGTTGCTACGCGTGGTTGGAGACCACCCCCCCCCCACCCCCCAGCCCAGGCTCCTTTCTCACCTGGGAAACCGCCGGGAGTTGTGTTGGGGGTGGGAACTGGTGTAACCGAACAGCCCCGTTAGCCTTCGCCCGGAACCCACCCCTGCCTGCTTACCCTCGCGGTGCTCCCGGGGCGATCCCCGCTTCCCCGACGCGGGGCCACGGGAGGCAGCGGCGGCCGAGAGCTAGGCGCCAGGCATCTGCGTGTCTGTCCGTCCGTCTGTCCCACCAGCTCGGGATCCGGGGGGCCGCAGCAGAGGCGGCACGGGCCGGGGACTCTGCAGGGACCGGGGTGCCCCGGAGGGAGTGGTGGTAGTGTAGGAGGAGGCGGTGGCAGAGGGGGAGGAGGTGGGGAAAGAGGAGGAGGAAGAAGAGGAGGAGGAGAAGAAGGAGGAAGAGGAGGAGGAGGAGGAGGAGGAGAAGGAGAAGACGCCGGAGGAAGAGGAGGAGGCGAAAGAGGAGGAGGAGAAGCCGCAGCGGGCGCCGCGGGAGCGAGTGAGCTGGGAGCGCGGGGCGAAGGCGCGGCGAGGCCGGCGGCTTGGAGGGCGCAGGAGGCTCGGCCGAGGCAGCGGCGCCGACTCCGTTCCACACTCGGCCGGGATCCAGGCCTCCGGGTTCCCAGGCGCTCGCCTCCCTCTGACGCACTTTAAAGAGTCTCCCCCCTTCCACCTCAGGGCGAGTAATAGCGACCAATCATCAAGCCATTTACCAGGCTTCGGAGGAAGCTGTTTATGTGATCCCCGCACTAATTAGGCTCATGAACTAACAAATCGTTTGCACAACTTGTGAAGAAGCGAACACTTCCATGGATTGTCCTTGGACTTAGGGCGCCCTGCCCGCCTTTTGCAGAGGAGAGAAAACTTTTTTTTTTTGCCTCCCCCGAGAAACTTTCCCCCCCCTCTCCTCCCTGCCTCTAACTCCGATCCCCCCC